ATTCATAAACAAAACAAGCTCAGCATGGAAAATTATATGGAACAAAGAAGTCGACACCACAAAAAACATATAACAAAAATGACAGCAACAAATTCATATTTGCCAATAATTACTTATCTGACAAGGGACTTATCTGAGATTTAAAGAAAACTCCAGCGCCTCAACAGCAAAGGGATTAACAATCCAATTGAAAAATGGGCAAAAGACATGAATAGACACTTCACCAATGATATTCAGGTGGCCAGCTAATACAGGAAGACATGCTCACAATTACTGGCCATCAGAGAGATGCAAATCAAAACAACAATGAGATACCCTCTCACCCCAGCACTCATGGCCAGGTTCAATGAGACGGAAAATAACAAATGCTGGAAGGGATGTGGAGAGATTGAGACAGTCATACACTGCTGGTGGGACTTTCAAGTGACACACACTGTTCAAAGCAATATGGCAATTCCTTAGAAAGCTGGAATTGGAGATAGTATTTGAACCAGCAATCCCATCACTAGGTATAAATACTAGAAAGGTGAGAGCCAGGAGAGGAACAGATATATGCACACTCATGTTCATCGCAGCATTACTTACAGTAGCAAAAAATGGAAACAACCTACATGCCCATCAGTGGAAGGTGGATGACCAAACTATGGTACATACACACAATGGAATGCTATGCGGCACTAAAGAATAGAGTCTGCAAAACACTGCATAATATGGATGAACTTGGGAGGACATTATGCTGAGTGAAGTAAGTCAATCACAGGACAAATGCAGTACTAGTTCGTTATTGTGGAGGGTCAAAGAAAGGTTATACATGGAGGGAAACTTTCTTTGTTGGTTGCCAGAAGTGGGAAGGGAAGGGAGGGAACACTGCCCCCTCCCAAAAAAAGCACTGACCCATGTCACTTTAGTTTTGTGTATTTCACTGTACATAAATTGTATTACAATAAAATGCATTAAAAAATGTATACATCAAATCTTAACAGGAGGTGGTGGGATTATGTTACTGTTTTTCTTGTTTTTTCATCTGGTTTATTAATTTCTACAATTTTAAGATATCACTTATTGCTGATCATGTCAGCCACTACAGTAACACTTAGGTGTTAAAACACTCATTTATAGAAGCATTCAAAGTTTCTGCTTTCATGAGTGAAACAAGGAGAGAGAGGAGAGTGGAGAGAGGAGGAGAGGAAAAGGAAAGCCATGAGGCTTTGGCCGTGGAGGGAAGCTTTGTGGAGGGAGCTGCACTGGACCAAGGCTCCGTGGGGGATGGGCAGGGAGCTGTTAGGCAAGTGGGTGGGAAGGGACTTGTACTAAGTGTAACTCTGAGTTGTGTTTTGGATCCACTTTCAGGTCTTCCAGAAATCAAACAAAAGTTTTGATCTATGTTGACACTGCTTTTGGGAGCTAGTGTGTGTTTCTTTTATAGAGCTGAGGCTCTAGAGTCAAACAGATGTAGGAGGGTTTCCCCTTACAAGCTGAGTGATTTTGGGAAATTTTGCTAAGATGGGAGCATCGATTCTTTCAACTGTTAAATAGGGGTAATAGTCACTCCGTCTGGATGGTTCAGATGCAGGAAACGGGAAGCCATGACTTAGATGGATCTTCACTGTATTTTAAATCATCTTACATGGAAAGATCTGGAGCAGTGTGGCCATAGAATAGTAAGTGTAGACAGTGTCCCTTACTTCACTCTGCCATTCTCAGTGGGCCAGCTTTGCACTCAGCCTCACTTCCCTAAAGGTCAAAAGGACATTGTAACCGTTTTGGAGGCTTTATCTTAGAAAACAGAAATAAGGCCCTGACCTACAACAGGGTTCTGTGCTGACATCTCCATCCTAAGTATTTGACTGGAGTCAAATACTCCAGTTTTTTTTTAGTTTTCATTACAACTGCCTTTTACTATCAGCAGCTTTACAAATCTGGGGAGCTCTGGTAGCATAGTGCCTAAGGCATTTGACTGCGAACCAGAAGGCTGGCAGTTCAAACTCACCAACCACTCCTCGGAAGGAAGGCTGGGCAATCCAGTTGTGTAGTGATACCGCCTCGGAAACCCAAGGAGAGGTTCTGTGAGTCCAATCTGACTTGAGGGCAGTAAATTTAGTTATAAATCT